AATTGTCATCTTATTTGAGTNTCCCCCTAAATGAGTAGTGCTAAAATAGCGCAAAATAGTACTACAGTAGTGCAAAATAGCGAAAATTAGAGGACCACATTTGCGGTAGTGCTATAGTAGTATCATGTTGGCACTACATGGCACTATAGAAAAAGCGATAGTGAAGAGTAGTTATAACTAGTATCAAGTATACTAATTAGTGCTTAGTTGCACTACTGAAGAAGTGCGTCTGAATAGTAGCTCTAATGTAGATGTCATCTCTGCTAACACTTGCTAATATAGATGAGATTATCTGAATAGTGATAATTAGTGTCAATTCGCAAAGGCTGTTTTTCCAGATGGAGGGGAGGGGGCTGTTGTTCGATTGAGGGCCCAAGTTGTTCGGATGAAGGCTTCCTGCCTTTTCTGTGGCGCGTTTCCGGTGATGACGTTGGGGCTACTCTGTCCGTTGTATCGGTTGGGGCACAGGTGGTTATTGCAAGTGTGCCTGTTCTGTCCTTCTCTATTGAAGCTGACGTCGCGTCGATTCTCGGGGTCGTATCGGTGAATACGTTGGGCGCAATCGGTCCGCTGCGTATTCATGCAGAGGGATACCTAGTCCAGGTGGAAGTTGCGTAGAGTCGCCGAATAGTCGGAATCGGCACTAGTGTCAGGGGACTCGTATCCGTTTCGAATGATGCGACGGTGAGATTCGTATAGTTCCCTGGCCCCAATGAGTAGATGTAGGCGTTGGCAGTGTTCGGCGAAGTCCGGGTCCAAAAGACTCTGAACGTTACGAAGATTCTCGGCCTGTTCGCGAATTTGAGCAGCAAAGTAACTGGATCCGTGGCGTTCTTCTGGGTCGTGGCTAACGGGGATGGGGGGAAGGGGTGGGCTGACGAGCCGTTGGAGATTGTGAAGGGTGTTGACGATAGTGTTGCCGCCAAGCCGGGCCGGCTTATCCAGCTAGCTCAGCTTGCCAACTAGACGCCCAGCTTGTTGCAAGAAGCCAAGCTAAGCCGAAACGCCTAGAAACGAGCCGATCGTCAGCTCGTTTTCAAGCCAGCTCTCGGGCTAGCTCCATTTATGATGTCATACTTACCAAAGCTGGTATCTCGTAGGACCGGGAGGTCCCGGCGGGACAGCCGCGACTTCAATCACTTCGAAATGCTTGGCTGCCATAGTATGGCCTGGTATTTCCTGGATGGATGTGTTGACCCCTCATGAGTCACACGTTGAGCACAGCGGCCATCCTCATAATAGTAATGGCTGCAGTCACCTTCAGCATGAAACAGCCCGGGAATGTGCGCTACAATGCTGCTGACGAGTGAGATTATAGACTCTCGTGTATCCTGCTTTTTGTCTTAATGGCTTTAGCAGCCGTGTTCAAACTACATTACATATGCAGTCTTCAAGTTAATCCAGCTTGGACACTGAGCTGTTGAATAATGTGTCGCCCTATTTAAGCGAGCAGATAAGCTGACAGGTTCACACCGGATTACTGGAGTTCACTATTTCTGACATGCATACTCAGCCATTCCGTTGTGGCCTTCAGACATGTTTCGGCGGCTCACACCTGTTCAGGGAGATATATTGAACTCATGCACACATGGTGTTATGTTCTGTGCATGTATACCATGTTGTTACTACGCAAGGAACAATGATGCTCAGTTCGCTGTGGGCGCATGCAACGTCTTGCCATATCTGGAATGTGAGCTTGCAAGTCAAGCCGTGGCTGGGGCCTGGCCAGGGAGTTGGCGCCCAGCTGGCCGGATCTCGGCTTAGCTTGCTCCGGCTTGGTGATCCAGCGCGATTCAGCTCGTCAGCTTGGCTTAGCTTAGCTGGCTTGGTGGCAACACTAGTTGACGACCTGCTGAACCTGTTCGATGAGAACCTGGATGTGTGCTTGCTCGGAGATCGGGGTGAGGGTTGGGTGGTGGTTGGTGATGTCGTACAACGCGCTCGCGTTGTCCCGAATTCTCGTAAGGAAGGAGAAGATGTCTAGTGGTTCGGGGCTTGAGGGGTTGCCTGCCGATGATTCTTGCTCGGTGTTGACGAGTGATGGTAGTTTGTCGTCCGCGTCGTACCCGTCGTCACGGAGTACCCAATGCTCGAGTTCGTCAAGGATAGTAAACTCGAGGCTCGCCTGGTCCGGTGTCCAAGAGCCGATGCTCAGGCGATATTCGTTCCAAATTGGGCTATGAAGGACGGCTCGTGCGTGAGTCCTTCCGATCCGGTCAAGCGTCCGTTGACGGATGAGTTCGATAGATGCCTGTCTCTGAGGCGTTGGTGCTACTGGTCGATCGAGAAGTAATCCTTCCTGGTAGGT